GGGATGGCTTGGCCTTGGGTGACAGGGTCAGGGGTGGCTGCAGGTGCCCCTGTCCCCGAGTAGCAGAAAGGGGGGGGGTGTCTCCCGGGTGGAATGGATGGAGCTGGGTGGTCTCGGACGCCTCCCAAACCCCCAGTGCCCTCTGATGTCCCCAAAGCCCGGTCGGAGCGGTTGACTCGGGGGTCTGGGTTTTGTGCCCCCGGGTGCCCGCCAGTGCCGGGAAGATGCTGCGGTGCGAGGGGAGCACCCAGAGCTTCCCCACGCCTCCCGCTGCCCAGAGCCTTGGGGTGCAGGTGCCGTCTCTCACCCGTGGCGGGGCCGTGGGTGCTGCCCTGGGTGGCCTCGGGCGAGGGGACACGCAGGATCCTCCGCCAGGCCTTTGGCTCCTTCCACGAGGGAGAGGAGCTGGCTGGGGCGGTGGTGCCAGCGCTGCAGGTAGAGGCTTGAAAGGGCGAAGGGTGTTGTTGGGTGGTGGGTTGGGTTTTTTCTTCTTTTTTTTTTTTTTTTTTTTTTTTTTTTTTTTTTTTTTTTTTTTTTTTTTTAATTCGGTTGAGATGGTGACGGAGGGAATTCCCGGTGCCTGCTGGCGTGCCCTGGGTCCGCAGCTCAGTGTGTGGAGGATCTCTCCTTGCCGTTGGTGTCACCATCCCCTGGAGTGGGGACCTGCCGTGCTGGAACCCCCCCCCCCCGGGCAGAGGATGGGGCAGGGAGGGGTGAGCCGTAGGGTGACACAGGTCCTCGGGCAGGGTGAGTAAGAGCAGGGAGGGACTGCTGCTCCTCTCCGCTATTGTTTTGCAGTAGAAAGCGCCGGGGTGGAGCTGTGCCTGGAGTTCCCCCTCTTCCCCCAGGCCTTCCCTGGCTGCCTTGCGCTGGGGGATGAGCCTGCTGCTTCCCTGCCTGCACCTCACAAGGGCTGCGGGTTCCCTGCACGCTCCTTGCTCCTCTCTTGGGTTGTTTTTTATTTCTTCCTTTTTTTTTTTCCTTTTGCCCCCCTGCTAGGCCACGAGCGGAGTTTGCCCGCAGTGGTCGCACACGCCTGTTGCAGCAGCGCTGGAAGGAGCCCGCGGGGGGTTTGGGGGGCGCAAGGAGCCCGGCGCTGAGCAGCAGCTCTGCAGCAGGGACTCGCTCCCGACGCCTTTTTGCTGCTGCTCCCCGTATCTGCTGCTCCCCACGGCAGGGCCCGGGGAAAGGCTGGCTGCTGCTCCAGTTTCCTCCTTGCCCAGGGCCCCTCCCCGCCGGGAAGGCTGTGCTGCGCTCGGCAAATCACTGCTGCTCTCTGGGAGCTGGAGAAAAACCTGGGTTAAACCCCCAGCAAGCCTTGGGGTGGGGACCCGGCTTTGCTCCGGGTGCAGTTATGGAGGAGCTGTGCTCGCTGCGGTCGGGACCAGGCGTGGGGAGGGATGCGACGATGCTCGGTGTGCGACCATGGCGATGGGATGCAGATCCTCAGATGGGGAGGTGGCCGCTGCGGCGTAAAGAGATGCCACCTCCTTGGTGTTCCCCAACTTCTGTGTCTTGCTGGGGACTTCTGGGAGCGGATCCAGGCAGGGTGAGGGATGCTGGCTGATGCCTGTTGGCTGCCTGGAGCCCTCCTGGTCGGGATGGCTGGAGGCAGCGATGTCCCTTCTATAGGACAAGCGGAGAGCCAGTGTGGGGAAGAGGAAATAAATGGGTCTGGGTGAGCTGGGAGTTTGAGCCTCTTCTCTCACCCTTGTGCTGTCCCTGGGAGGGATTAAGGACCCGTCCTGTGGTGATGAGATGCTCCTGGGGGAAAGGAGCCTTGATGGAGAGAGGGTGCTGCACCCCTGTCCCTCTCTGTCCAGTGGTGGCCAGCCCAGAGCTCCCTGCTGGGTTTTCCCAGTGACACTGGGACAGGGACTGTGTTTTAGGGTGCGGATCCAGCCTTGGGGTCCCTCAATGCAGCCAATTGTGGGAGCCACGTTCGCTGCCACCTCTTGCCAGCATTTTCTGAGGCCAAACTAATGAAACATCTGACTTTGATGTTTTAATTAGTTGCTTTTGGCTTTAATGCAGAGGGATAATAGAGTTTCCATGGACTTATAAAACCTGCCCCTCTATTTGTTCATTAGAAAAAGGAAAGGAGAGGGGGAAAAAAAAAAAAGCGCGAGCTAACTCTGGATAGAGAAAGGAAGAAAGCAAATGCTTGAGACGTGCGGAGCATATGACAACCCGCTGGTGTGTCACCCACCTGGATGGTGACTCTTTTAAAGCACTAATTAAGCAACTTAGATCCTGGGAGAGCTCTCTGTGAGTAACAGATGAGTTCAGTGTTCTCCTGCATTTGTGAGCTTCTGGGAGGGGTCTCGGATTTACCCGTGGGAAGCTGATGCACAGCAACGTGTCCCTGGGAGGTCAGGAATCGGGGCCATGGGAGTCCTGGCCAGAAGCATCCCTCTGTCTTCACCCCCTCGGCCGCGAAGCGAGGGGCTGGCCCCGCTCTCGCAAGCGAGGACAGGCTGTGGCTGCCCTGGCAGATGGAGAGGGACGTGGGGACCCTGGTGTGGGCGTGAGGTGGGATGCTGCGTGCTCCTGGGCTGGCTCACTGGGATTCTGCATTGTGGCATCCAGTCCTAGACACTGTACAGACTGGGGAGAGGAGGGGCAGGCTGGGGAGGGGGCACCGTGCGGCTGTGCCACCAGGTCCTCTGCCAAAATCCTGCGGCTGACTCGCTTTGGAACAAGGGAAGGGGCATGGGAAGGATCATCCTGGCTGGCAGTGCCAAGGGCTGGCTCAGGAGAGCTCTTGGTCTGGGCAAACCCTTCCCTCCCCGCAGCACGGGGGGCTGTGGTGAGCCTGTGGGGACACACCTCTCCCCTAACGCAGGGAGGGGGCCGGACCCCTGCATCCCCCCACCCATCGCGGGCACCCGAGCTGGGACACGGCGGGTCCTCGCTGCGGGGACTCTGTGCCAGGGTGGCAGAAGCCAAGTCGAAGGTTTGGCCAGTTGTCCGTGTTTTATGCTGACGGGGAAACTTTTGCTTCTACGCTTCCATGGCAGGGATGAGTCGGCAGCTGGGCTGAGCCGAGGCGCTGACAGCCAAAGGAGCCGAATGCTGCTGGGGTGCTGGGGCCAAGTCTCCATCCACCCCTCTTTTTATTTTATGCCATATCCCCATATTTTGCCCCGATAAAGCAGCTGGGGTCTGGCGGGGAGCAGCGAACTGCTGGTGTGCCTGGGCAGAGCACAGCGCGTAGGAGTCCCTACCCGGAAGAGTTTGTCCGGCGGGGACGGGGAGGGAGGAATCCGATCCCTCCTTTTCCCAGGCTGGGATCCCAGCGCGCTTCGCTTCCCGTGGCCGCGGCCGGCTGCCTGCTCCCGAGCCCCCTGCGTGGGTCTGGCCTCCTGCTCCGTCCCGGCTGGCAGGGGAGGGCTCTGCACCGCCGATCCTGCGAGTCTTTCACCGCCGCCACTGCTGACATCTCCTCTTTGTCTCGGGCACGGAAAGGTCAGCCCTGCCTCACTCGCCACGGTCCGTTAAGGAGCCGTAAATAAGCTGGATCAGTCTGCCATGGGGCCGCGGCAACCGCCAGCTCCTGGGCTGATCCCAGCATCCTCCTCCTCCTCCCTGGACCGAGGAAGGATTCGTGCAGGGGGAGGGATTGGGCTGGTCGGTGATGCCAGCCGGGGGCCGAATCCAGCGCTGCAGAGCCTGGGGGGTGGCAGGCTGGGCTGAGGCCTGAGGCACTCGCTTCAGCAGTGGCAGCAGTAAAAGCAGCGAGCCCCATGCCAAGGGCAAGAGCTGGGAGGGCTGCTCGTGGGTTCCTGCTTTCCCCAGGCTAAAAATAAGCTGCTGGCCCTCACGGTGCTGCTGCCTCTGCTCCCGCTGAGAGGGCTGGGGGTGAAGCCAGGCCGGAGGGGACCGGGGGGGAGCTCAGCCCTGCACCGTGGTTGCGGGGCCTGCCGGGCACTTGGCGTGACCTTTGCTCTTTGAGCATCAGATCCAGTGATCAGATTTTCAGGTCCGGGCTCAGATTTCGGACAGAAGGTGTCTGATTTTCAGCACGGTTTCCCAAGATGCTAATTAAGGACCCTGCTGCGGCAGCGAGAGCTTTACTGTCCCTTCTCCACCCCTTTGCTTGCCCGGGAGGTGCCAATCTCCCCCGCCAGCCCCATGGCGTGCCCTCAGCTTTTCTCTTCTCGCCCTTTGTTCCTGCTCAGAAATGCTGATGCTTCGTCTCTCTCTGCTTCAGCCCTCCCAGGGGCTTAGTGCCGTGGCATCGCCGCGCTCCAGCTCTTCATCTCTCTTCCCACCTTCTCACCAGCTACTTAAAAGTAACTCCAGGTTGCTCGAGCACTTGGCTGCTGCAGGCAGATCTCGGGCTGCATGGATGCTTTTTAACTAGAGAACGGGGAAGCTGCTTTCTTGCTCGTGCCATCTCGCAGGCTGTCGCAGGCAGCGAAGGGACACGAGGACGAGCGAGAAGATGGCTCGGTCCTCGAGCATCCTCCCGTCTCATCTCCTTTCTGCCAGGGCTGAAGCCCCCACCTTCTTGTCGGCTCTGCACAGGCCGTACCCCAAGGGAGGGAGGATGGTTCCGGGCGTGATCTGCTGGCTGTGAAATTCAGGGCAGGGTGTCTCGTTTGCTGCGTGAGGCTCAGAGCTCAGCCCGTTGGTCCCGTACGCCGGCCGCATACAAAACCGTGCCGTGCCGTATCGCTGCAGCTGGCAGTGCCGCGGTGCCGAGCTTCCCCGCCCGGTGCCACCCGCTCCAGAGGGGCTTTCTGCCGGCGCTGGGCTCTCCCGTGGGCACGTGGCTGTGAGCACGGATCCAGTGTGGCCTCTGTGATGGAGACAGCCTGGGGGTGACCCAGGCTGGGAGGGAGCTCGTGCTCCAGCGTGAACCTGAGTTAAATATTATTCCTGCCTCTAGAGCACGGAGAGATTGGTGCAAGACGGGAGAGATTGGTGCAAGGAAGGGGCTTGCAGGGAAATGAGGGCAGGCTGGATTTGCGGCGCTGCCAGAGGAGGCTGTTTGGTGATGCTGGGCTGGTGGTGGTGGTTGAGGAGCCCGAGCTGCCGGTGCGATGGGCTGCCAGGCTGTAGCAAGGCTTGAATTGTGCCTCGTGAGGGTCGCATCGCTTGTGACAGCCCCGCTGCTACAGAACAGGAGGAAAGCTGTAATAACAACCCGCCCCTACGCATTACTCAGTGCAGGGGATTTATCCCGTGTGCGGGCAGAGCTGGCAGAGAGGCCTGACTGCGTTTGCCTGGGGATGCTGGGGGAAGTGGGGGCGCATCAGCCGCAGGGAGCCGGGTCCAGAAACTTGGCTTGGCTGTGGAGAAGCTGAAAGAGCGGCTGATCTTTCCTGGGTGTCCTGGTGCAGACGTGGCTGTGAGTCACAGCATCCTCCTTAGGAAAGTGTGGCGACCCAAAACTTTCATTGGAGCAGCAGTGCAGGGTGCTGGTGGACCCAGGAATGGGGCCCTGAAGGGTCCCGCTGTGCCCACCCGTTCCCCCGTGGGAGCAGGGCTGTGCTCATCACCCAGGGACGCGTCTGTGGAGCTGGGACTGGGGGGGACACACTCCTCCCGTAGCCAGAAACCCCCGTGTCCTGGCTCGAGCTGTAAAAGTGTGAAGCTCCACAGCCTGCATTTTCCAGTGTGACTAGTGCCGGCTATTTTTAGTTGTCCAAATTAAGCTTGCCTAAATGATGTCTTTTGAGGTTTATTCGAGGGAGGAGGCCTGAAGTGGTGTTATTTCCCATGTGACGAACTGCTCTTAAAAGCTGACCCCGAATGGACTGTCCAAAAACAAAGGGAAGGACCAAACCAGCTGACTCTGTCTGGGCAGCGTTTCCTCCCCGGAGAGCTGCGGGGCACCTGAGGGTGTTTCCTGAGTGAGCAGGAGATCTCCTGGGGGAAGGAGAAAGCAAGCAGCCAAGACCCGTTCACCTCCCCGTGGAGGAAAAACCAGCTGTATAACCTCATCCCGCTACCTGCTTCAGCATCCCCAGGGATACGCTGCGTCCCTGGGAGCCGGCCTTGCAAACGCCCGTCTGCTCTGCGGAGTATTAAATCCACGGGGCTGCTCTTCCCAGGGGCGGCTTGAATTACTCGGCGTGTGCTGGGTGCCAAACGCAGACGATTGCGGCTCCCGGAGGAGACGGCTGCTTTGCCTGCTGGGGGAGGAGGCTGGAGCCATGAGTCAGGGTGCTGAGATGTTGCTTTGTTAGGTGCCTGTTTTGGGGGGAGGCTCAGCCAGGGGCGATGGAGAGGAGGCTGCCCTGGTACCCAGCAGATGCTCATCCCCTGGGTGCAGCCACAGGCCAGGTTCTGGTGAGCCAGAATCCTTCCGCAGCGTGCTCCAGCTCTGTATCCACCGCTGAATTCTGCTGTGCTAACTCCTGACCTGCTGCCTTTCAGCTCCTTCTTCATTGCTTCCCTTCTTAGCGTTGTTTTCCCCCTCTTCCCATCTCTCCCCATCCGTGCCTACCATCTGCAGCCGTGCTCATCTGCGTGCCTGGTCTCACCTTGCTGAGCACCATCACGGGCATCCCACCTCGCCTTTACCCGGGGCAGGAATGGCCCTTCTTCCTCCTCTCCCTTCCCCGCAGCATCTGGGTGTTTCTCTGCAGGGCAGCAGCCGGGGGATCTTCTCGCTCCTGCAGTTGAACGTGAAATGCATCAAATCCTTGCAAGATGTTGCAGATGGTGCTTCTGCAGCACCGGGGGGACTGGTGCTGTGTGCAGGTGTCCTCCGCTCTCCGCGGGCAGATGCAGCCTGGAGCGAGGAGGCTGGAGGTGTTTCCTGCCCTGCCTGGCACTTCCATTTAGAGGACTGTCCCTTTTCCCTTTGGAAAGGACAATGAGAGATCCTCCCTTCCTCGTCCTGCTCCCCCGGATGCAGCTGCCTGTGCAGACTGGCCTCGTTGCTTCTCAGCCCCTGAGACCTCGCTGAGCTCCATCCTCGCTCGAGGTGATGGGTTTGGGTAGAGCATCGCCAAGAAGGGACCCAGAAAAGCAGGCGGAGAGAGGAGGAGCTTCCCCAAATCTCAGCCTCCTCGCTCCAGGACCCTGCCTGGCTGCCTCCCCTCCAGAGTGCTCCCTGGGCAGCTCAGGTGGTGCTGGGGGACCCCGAATGGTGCTGGGGGACCCCAAACCAAGCAGACTTCTGTGGCAGCGAGGCTTGTTTTTTGCGTTCTGGCTGTTCTTGTTATGTGGAGAGCAAAAACACCTGCCCTGACCCTGCCTGGGGTCGGAGGGTGGTGCCGAAGGCTGAGGGAGAGGATGAGGAAGGACCATCTGTGTGCGTGGGGCAGCCGGGGAGATGTGGGGGCAGAGAAGAGGAGCCAGAGCCGTGGGAGCAGAGGGAATTACAGCGTGCCCAGCGATCCTGGCTATGACGCCTGGGGCAGGAGGAAGAGGAGGAGGAGGGGGAATCCTGTCCACACAAAACCCCTGTGTTCTCCCGGCTAGGCAGCAAGCAGGATCATGGCAGGCAGTCTGTCTTGCCTCCCGTAGCCCCAGTACCAGCCCGGCACTGGGCTCGGGTGTCACTGGGGAGCTGCCAGGAGCTGGGTTGAGATGCCGGCCGCTCGCTTTATTCCCCGTGGATCGTCTTGCTCAGTCTGCCTGCCTGCTGCGCTGCTTACTGCCAACGAAACGCCCCTAACACCCGGATTGCGGCAGTAATCTCTGCCCTATTGCTGCTAAAGCTGCTATTATCCCCAGATTAGCGCTGGTGCTTAGAAACCCACCTGTATAAATGCCGGTGATAGGCAGGGACTGTTATAAAGCCTCCCACAGCTCCTGCGCCTCCAGGTCCAGCCAGTACGAAGTGGCTGGTGGCCGGCAGTCACCTCGGGTGACCCCGGGGCCGTGCCATGCGGGGCTGGCGTGTTCCTCTTGCTTGGAGGCTGGGCAGAGGCCGCAGGGCTTTGGGGCTGGCTCTGTGCTAGCGCGGGGGGTTTGCTGGCTGTGGCGGGGCTGCCAGGCTCCCCCAGTGCCACGTGTCCTCGTCCCCAGCGCATCTTGTCATGTCTCTGCTTGGAGTAGAGCTCAACCCAAGCTTGGGCCCCTTGGTGTCATTGCAGGGTTTTGTTTGTTTGTTTGTTTTTGGGGAGGGGGATAGCCTGCAGGCTGCCTTCCCCCCAGCTCTGTGAGGTGCGATTTATGGGCACAAAGGATGAGTGTGGTGGCAAAGCCTGGGTTCGGGGTTGGCATCGCACCTGGAGGGATGTGGGAGGTGGGAGCCTCCCCAAGAGGCTTCATGCTGGCACTTGAGGAAAGGGAGATCCCAGTTTCTCTGGGTTACTGGTGCAGCTGGGAGCCTCTGGGGCGTTGCCCGAAGCGCAGAGGGAGGGAGCGCGTGGGGTTCCAGACGCTGCATAAACAGGATGGCAGGTCAGGACGGTGCTGGGCGCCCCGGGCGCATGGGTGTGGGGGGGTGTGCGTGGAGGTGGGGCCGGGGCGGTGGCAGCAGTGGTGATCCCCCCACGGCATTG